AAAAAAAAAAGAAAGAAAGAAATTATCAATAAATATGAATGTCAGAATAGAAAACATATTGAGTCTAGAGTTGAATAGATCTGGGTTTAAACTCCAGCTCCATTAATTATTAGATGTGTGAGTTTGGACAAGTAATATTTTTGAGCTTCAGTGTCCTCACATGACCTGTGCAACCTCCCACGCTAGGCTTTAAGTGATCTGCAGCTTCCACTTTTGTGGACCCAGCTGCCTGTCATGAGGAAGATAAGCTCCATGGAGAAGCCACTTAGAACCACAGTGCTCCAGTTTCACAGCCCCCAGCTGAGCGCTCAGCTGACACCGGCACTAACTGAGCCACCTGAACGCCCGAGCCCAGTGGAACCACCAGATGACTACAGCCCCAGGTAACAACACAAGCAGCAGAGTCTGCTGTGGAGTCCAGTTCAGGATACCAGAAACAAAATCTCACAGAACACAAAAATCAGTTGACATAATTTATCTCATCAACAGGCTAAAGAAGAAACATAAGATGATCAAGAAATTAAAAAAAAAAAAATTAGCAAAATCCAACACCACTGTGAGGGTTAATTTTCTGTGTCAACTTGACTGGGTCATGGGGTGCTAAGATTAAACACTATTTCTAGGTAAGTCTGTCAGGGTAGTTCTTGATGAGATTAGCATTTGAATCACTGGACTGAGTAAAGTAGATTGTTCTCTTTAACGTGGGTAGGCATCATCAAATTCCTTAAGAGCCTATGAATAGAAAGAAAGAGAGGAGAAGGAAAGAAGTTTGCCCTCTCTTGTGTTCTTACTGCTTATGCTAGGTCATATTACCTTATCTTCTAATGGGACTCAGACTGGGGGTTATACCAGTGGCTACACTAGTTCCCAGACCTTTGGATTCAGACCACCAGCTTTCCTAAGTCTACAGCTTGCAAACAGCAGATTACAGAACTTCTTAGCTTCATAAATGCATGAGCCAATTCCTTGTAATACATCTCCTTTTATATCTTTATCTATCCTATTGGTTCTGTTTCCCTGGAGAACCCTGACTAATACACACTTTCATAATCTCTTAGAAAACCCAGAAAAGAGGAGACCTTCCTTAACTGAATAAAGGGCACCTACAAAAAAGTGTACAGCTAGCACCAGACTTCATGGTGAGAAACTAGGAGCTTTTCCAGTAATATTAGGAAGAAGGCAAGGACGTTCCCTCTCACCGTTCTTTTTCCATATTGTACTCGAAGTCCTAGTTAATGCAATAAGACACAAAGAAAAAGCATATAGATTGAGAAGACAAATTTAAAGTTGTCTTTGAATATGACATGATTATGGAGAAAATCTGAAAGAATCAACAATGACAACAAAAATCCCTTGAAATAACCAAGCATAGCAAGATTGCAGGATATAAGGTATCCATTCTGGTGCTGGATGCTGAGGCTGGGCGTGCATGGGACCATGGCATATATGGGACCTCTCTGTACTTTCTGGCCAATTTTGCTGTGAACCTCAAACTGCTTTTGTTGTTTGAGACAGCCTCACTCTATTGCCCCAGCTGGTCTTACACTCCCAAGCTCAAGCAATCCTTTTGCCTCAGCCTCTTACTCTTCCTAGGGCTGGTCCTGAGTAGCTGGGACTACAGGTATGCAACACAATTCCTTGCTTTAAATGTGCTTTTAAAAATTAAAGTCTATTGAAAAAAGTGAAAATAATCTCCCAGAACAGTGAGAGATAATAAACAGTGGTTATTGTTTTAAATCATAAAGCTGCAGGATAGTTCGTTACGCAGCTGTGGGTAATGACGACACCCGTCTATGGAAGACTGCGGATTAACTGCTAACAGCCATTCCTGCTTTCTTCCTCCAGAGTAGAACACTCTAGATAAATGGCCCCCCAGCCAAAGATTACATCTCCTAGCTTCCCTCCCAGCTAATGTGGTCACAGGATGAGGTTCTGGGGAATGGTCCATAAACAAATATGATATAAGCAGCTTTCAGGTCATGCTCTGAAAGGCAGAGGGCCTCTCCTCTCCTTCCTTTCCACACTTGTGGATGGTCAAAAAGCAAACATGCCAGCAGGAGCTGAAACAGCTCCATGTGTGACCACATGTTGAGGACAGCAAGGGACATGTTAGAAAGAACCAGGGTTTCTCATGCTGTCTAGACACCACACCAGTTATGCACCACTTATTTTGAAGGATAAGTTTCCGCAGCCAGGCCTGTCTTCTAAGTCACATACCATGTCACAGGGCTGTGCTAACCATCAAATGGGGCAAGGCGCATTGAAGTACTTAGCACAGTGCCTGTCAAAGAGCATGTGAGCTCCTTCTACATGGGCTCTGAGAGCTCTGAGGGTCCTGCAGAGAAATGCAGCTATTTTGATGGCCTTGACAAAACTCACCTCTTCCACCTCTGCTCCTTTTTTTTTTAATTTTTTTTTATTTTGAGATAATGTCTCACTCCATCACCCAAGCTAAAGTACAGTGGTATTATCACAGCTCACAGCAACCTCAAACTCCTAGGCTCCAGCAATCCTCCTGCCTCAGCCTCCCAAGTAAGTAGCTGGGACTATAGGTGTGTGCCACTACACTCAGCTAATTTTTCAATTTTTTGTAGAGATGGAGGGGTCTTCCTCTTGCTCTGGCTGGTCTTGAACTCCTGGCTTCAAGCACTCCTCTCGCCTCAGCCTTCCAGGGGGCTAGGATTATAGGTATGAGCCGCCACGCCTGGCCTCTGTTCAGTTTTGATAGGAGATCAGAAAAGCTTGGGGACTTACCTCTGGAGACTTTGTAAACTTCATAGAAAGAATAGAAGTGGAAGCCCAGTGAAGCCAGCAGGTAAAGAGACAGCTCCCATCGGGGCAGCCCTGCTCCTGCCATGAGCACTCCTGATGCTCACGCAGAGTGTTTCTGAGGAAAAGAGACAAAACATTAGACCACAGACAGGACACTAGAGAAGAGTGTCCAACACTCAATTTAGTTGGTCTGCACTCCCAGAGGTCCCACACAACTCAACGTGATACAGACAACCACAGTCGAACCTCCCCACCCAGTAAGCTTACCCCACATGCATACACAGCCTGGCCGCCCTGGGAGCTCCCACAGCCTCCCATAACAGTATACACGAGATCGTTCTCATTCTCTACTCATTGCACGGTACACCTGTCTGCCTCCGTGGAGCGGACCTTCAAAGAGCAGAGACCATGATCTCTGACTCCCCAGCACCTAGCACAGTGCCTGGAATGTAGCAAGTATAGCAAGGGACTACCAGATGCTCTAAAAATAAAAACTGGCTTTAAAACCCCGAATAAAAGAAAAGCACAGATAACCTCTAAACCCCTTCTCAGCCAGCAGACGTACCCTCCTCCTTCTCCCCCTCAGGAGTCATCCCATAGTTGTTCATCTGAATGGACTATTAAAAACTGTTCTGCCTTCTTTGCTCTGTGGACTGCCTCAAGGGGAGTTAAAGACTTAACTCCAGGTGCAGGGCAGGCCCTGCTCACTGCCCATCCCTCAATATTCAATCTTTTTCTTACACATTAATTGAATTTTTTGCTGGATGCATGGATGCCAGACTCAGCACTGCACTGTAGCTATTGTAAACACTGGAATAGTTTCATTCAAAGGCTTATGAATGAAGGGACATGAGACTGTGGCCATCCCCTTCCTTCCCTTTCTTCCTGCTGAACAGAGTTAGAAACAGTCACCTTGGCCAAAGAGGTGACAGCCATATGGAAACCTAAGACAGAGGCACCTCATCCCTTGGCACCCCAGCTTCCCTAAACCACTTATATCTGGACTATTAGATGAAAGAAAAACGCAATTCTAGGTTGTTTAAGCCACCTTATTCTAGATCTCCCTCTCACGGCAGCCATGACTATATTCTAAGTAATAGAGAAAGTAATGGAAATTTAGGCCCTCGAATCCGCAGACAGTCCTGAACATTCCCAAGGAACATAGAGTTAACTAAATTTAAGCCCTTTTATGACCTTCATCGCTTTCCTTAAACCTCTCGAATATGTCCCATTGTAGATGCCAAATTAAGAGCAAAATTTTAAGCCTCACAGAAGCACTTCTAATTTGTGACAGTGACGCCAAAACACAGAATTCACACATCATCTCAGTTTGTTTTCACAACAGCCTGGGGACATGGGTGGAACAAGGGAGGCAGGCATTTTACAAATGAGGAAGGTGATGAGGTTACAGAGCCAGAAATAACCAAGCCAGAACAGAAAGACAAATACTGCATGAGCTCACCTCCACACACACGTGGAGTCTAAGAAAAGTCAAACTCACAGCAACAGAGAGTAGGCTGGTGGTTGCCCAGAGCTGGGGTAGGGGGAGATGTTGGTTGAAAGGTACAAAGTTCCAGTTAGACAGGATGAATTAATTCTAGGCTCTATTGTAGAGCATGGTGACTACACTTAATAATAATGTATCACATACTCAAAAATTATAAGGAAAGTAGATCTTAAATGTTCTCATCATTAAAAAATGCTAAGGGGGTGATGTAATAGATATGTTAATTTCCTATATACATTTCAATGTATATGTATGTCAAAACATCATGTTATATACCATCAATATGTACAGTTTTTATTGATCTAAATAAATGAATAAACAAACAAAATATAAAACTAACTTAGGGCTCAACTTTAAGCCTTTGGACCACCAGCTCCCCACCCCTCCCCTCTGCCACGGCCAGCCCCATTACCACCAGTTTGTGGAGTTACTGGCCCTTACAGCCTGGCTTAGAATCTGCCACACACAAACTCCTTTCTTCAGGCTATCAGGAGACAGAGCAGGGAGAGAAATGAACTTCAGCTTTCATAAACTATGAGGTCAGAAATCACAGTCCTCCACTCAGAGTGCCCCAGGGTCATTACATAAAAGCCACCCAGAAAGTTAGGCCTGGGTTTCTCCTGCAACCTAAGAGATCCAGAAACGATCAGACCCCTGTAAGCCCCTCTAAAGCCTCAGCACTTGCAACAACATTTTCTTGGGTTCTTGCTGTTTTTCAGAACCACTAGTAGATTCATACATTTCTACTTAGACTTGTATCTCTAGAAGAACTTAAGATTTCTGGAACTTTTCTAGTCTTCCTTTTAGTGGGAAGTTAATTTTAACTGCTTGGTTTTACAGCATCAAAGGATGTTAGTATTACACTGGAGGACCTCACCCTACTAAGAATCTGTGATTAGCAAAGAGCAGTGGAATTAGCAACTCCTACTGAAATTTGAATATACATAATCTTACAGATTAAATGAAAGTTCTAAAGCCCTACTCTTCAGAAGCTTTTCAAGGACAGTCTATCTGGGGCAATTGCCCTGCAGGAAGGATTTAACACTTTGGAAACTAGAAAATTCCAATTTTTAACATTTCTCCCCTTAGTGCTACCATTAGCTATACTGTACGGTAAGTCCCCACTTAAGCTTGCTAGTGGGTTCTGCACCTTTAAGTGGAACAACCTATAACCAGACCAGTTTTCTCATCAGCTCATTGATACAAACAAGCGTTAAGTTCCTGTAGCATATTTCTGGTCACAAATGCATCACCAAAATTCTAAATAAAGAGCCACAACACTTCTAATATTATACACTGGAATAAATGTGAGCTATACAAACATTTAAGAGAGATTAATGAGAACAATAGGATCATCATTCACCCCAGTTTTGGTGGATCGTCAGGTGTACCCGTGTAGGGTTAAATAAAGGGACAAAGCACCTGCTTACCACCCACAGTTCAAAGCCACTCACAGTCAGGTCAGGTTCACTGAGCGCTTCTGTGCCGCATCATTTATGGTCGTGCATTTGGATGATTATCCTAGATTTCATGAATTTTTATCTTCCAGTCATTTCTATTTATTCACAGTGAGAACCACCTTTGGAAGGCCGCCATGCCCTGGCAGGGCGCACTCACTCCTATCTGTACACACGCACACTGGGACCCTTTAGACACCTAACAGGCACGGGTTTGGGATGTGGGAAAAAACCAAGAGTACACAGACAGGGGGAGAACCGGCAAGCAGGTGGTGGTTCTGGCAGAGAATCATTTTCTCTTCATCTACTATACTACAATGAAGGAAAAGATGTTATTTAAGGACCAGCTGCAAGTTTTGGAGACATATAAAGATACATAGTAACTAAAAAAAACAAAGAACAAAAAAAGTGAAAAGAAAGATATGTAGTAACTAACAGCAAAACAGCAGGTAATCAGCAGAAAAATTAGCTGTCTCTTCGTTTCCAAAATTTAGAGATTGGATCAAAAAGCCTCCACCTGACAGCATGGATATGTTGGCACCAAACACCCAAAGAGGGACACCCAACGCTGCCACTTATTGGTTAAGAAACTTGGGTAGGCAGCAACTTCCCAGATATGGTGGTTTTTCATAGGGTTTTCGAAGGATTAAATGTAAAATGCTAAGCCCAGAGCAGTCACTAAGTACTCAATAAACATTAGTTAGAAGTTACCGGGCAGTGAATTTCATTTATCAGGAGCCTACCTACCCGGAACTCTGGTTTTCTTACTGAATGGAAGAAATGTAACTGACCTTCACTGGGCGTGGCCATCCGACCTACATCTAGACCTCTTTCAGCAGGTTGGCATCGCCGGAATTTTCGTTAATGTTTCCCTCCTCTTTCTGTTCCCACACCCGACTCAGGACCAAACTGTACTGTGGGGACCACCCAGAAACTGTCTACCCAGGGTCTCTTCCCCACCACCTCTCTGCTTATTCCCCAAGGGGATATTCAGTACTCTGAACTTTGTGTTGTCACTCTCTCCACCACATGAACCACCTCACACCAACATTCTCATAGACTTCTTTTTTGAGAACTTTTTTTTTTTTAAAGTAACAAGAGTCTCACTCTGTTACTTAAGATGGAGTGCAGTGGCATGATCATAGTTCACTGTAACCTCAAACTCTCGGGCTCAGGTGATTCTCCTGCCTTGGCTAATTTTTAAATTTTTTGTGGGGACAGAGTCTTGCTATGTTGCCTGGGCTAGTCTTGAACGTCTGGCCTCAAGCGATCCTCTCGTGTTGGCCTCCTAAAGGGCCAGGATTATAAACATGAGCCACTAAACCCAGCCTCAGACATCTTTCTTAACAAATCTTTTTTCCTCACACCTCCCTTTTGAACTTCTGCCCAATTAACAAGGTCTGACAAGATCATGAACTTGCCGCTGCGTGCTTACATTGGCAGCACTGTGTGAACAACTCTGTAAGGCTTCATAACCTTGGCATATCAGCGTCTCACAGTTATGTTCATGTCAATGCATGGTGATGTCTTGCCAAGTGGTGTTCGTTATTACTGCATGTTTTTGTGTGCCATCAGGAGAATATCAGAGCTTGAATTAGAGCAATGGACAGACATTCATAAATGTCTTGTCAAACTTGGCAAGAGTAGACTTGAAATCAGGGACATGTTAGCACCAGCTCACACATCATAGTCTGTGAGGGAGTTTTTAGCCAGTAAACAAATAACTGTATTAAAACAGCCTCCCTATTCACCTGATCTGGCCCCCAGTGACTTATTTCTTTACCTTATTTCTTTACCTTTTCAACAAAGGAAATATTGAACAGAAAATGTTTTGATGACATTGAGGACATCCAGGTTAATACAAGAGCTTTGAGACCATTCCAGAAAAAGAGTTCCAAAATTGCTTGAAGGTTAGACTTAGGTGCTGGCATCAGTTCATGGGTTCCCAAGAATACTTTGAAGGTGACCCTAGTCATATTCAGCAATGAGAGTAATGCTTTTTCTAAGAAAATTACTCTATTATTTTTCTCTATTCATTTCAGCTGTGTACACGGAGAGCTAATTAGAGTAGATGTATGTTTTAAGGGGTTGAATGACACAACAGCATGACAGAAAATAAAAGGCACCCATTCGGAAGTATAACTAGAACTT